CTTTTTTTTTTCAGTTTTCTATAGGATGTATGCATTCATGAAAGAGAGAGAGAAGGGTGCGGGAGAGAGAGAGAGAGAGAGAGAGAAATTGCCCCAGGAGAAATGGCCACACTACAATTGCTTCTCCTCCATTCTCCTCTTGGGACTTTAGGTATGCACGCACATATACCCAGCATAATTTTCAAGCTGCCAAGTCCAAGACTTGCACCACGCTGTCAGCCATGTGGGATCCAGTCTCCTTAACTCCACATTACCTGCTGACTCCTAACCTAACATTTTTAAAATTTACCTATTCCTTTTCTTCATGAATGAGTGGGAGACAGAGAGAGAGATAGTACCTCCAACAGGTCTATATTCTGTGATTCAGTCCCAGCCTTAGCCAGGCCTGGATCATGGGCACATGCAGGTCAGACATACTCAAGGAAGTCTCTGGAAAATGAACCTGGAACCTTCTCACATGGGGCCAGCCTCTCAGAGCATCATGTTTTACAACTGTACTACCATCTGGCCTCTGAGTTAGCCACACTTTTTGTTGGGTCTGCTCACTTGGAACTCCTCAGAGAAGTCTGACCTCTAAGGTCCCTTATGTTTTGTACCTGTTAAGGAAATGGAGAGGAAAGTAGAGGAAATAATAGAAGAAATAGTCTGAGAAAAGCTACCCTGGGAATCCTTCTGCCCTAGTTGTATATGTCTCAGTGGCCAACCTAAGATTGACACCAACCCAGACCACTGCTAGATGAAAAGAAGCAGTATAGCATAGTGGTTAATCATATGAGCATTGCATGAGAGGTCTAGATGAAGTCTTAACTCCATAATTTATTAGCTGTGTGACCTTCAGCAGGTTACTTAAACTCATTATGTTACAGCACAGTAGTTAAGAGCTGGATCCCATATGGCTAACTAAAGTTCAAACCCCGACCCCAGTGGCTTAAAAATGATGCCAGACACATGTTTGCATGCCCCAAATCCTGATGGGATGGAGAAATATAGGAAAAAGGATGGTGGCATTACCATGGCCCATTGAGGGGCTCTCTCTCTCTCTCTCTCTCTCTCTCTCATGAGTGCACACATATAGCAACTTTTTAAAAAAGAGTAGTAAGCGAAACTACTTTAAGTTCTCTATGATGATGAACTAGACTAATAATGTGTGCAAAGCACTTCAAACAGTAGCTACCATGCTCAATAATGTTAACCATCCTTATTATTACTATTATTATAATCAAATAATTAAATATTAGGTTTTACCAGTGATAATGACTTAATATTTTGTTTCATAGATAATCCTCTCATTTTCACAGGGGCCTTTAAAACCTTAAGCAAAGGAAAGATCTTTACCACCATGATAGGTTCTGTGGGAGAAATTTTGAGCAACTTTTTTTTTTTCCATCTCTTAAGACAAACTCTGCAGGTTCATTTTGAAGGAGGCTGGTACTGTATCTATAGTCTGAATGCTTTCTCTAGCTATAGAAAAGGAAAAGTAGGGAACCAGTGGTTAGCATAATGGCTATGTCGCTAGACTCCCACGTAGTCGACCGCAGTTCGCATCCCGGACCTGGTGGCTTAAAACTCACGCCAGGCGCGTGTGCGTGTGTGCCCAAGATCCCGAGAGGAGAATGGAGGAGAAGGAATTGCAGCGTGACCATCCCCCCCGGGCGGAGATTTCTCACTTTCTATCTCTATGTCTCTCTCTGTCTGTCTGGCGCTCTATAGTGAAAAAAAAAAAAAACTCTCCAAAAAAAAAAAAAAAAAGGAAAGGAAAAGGAAAGGATTATGCAAAAGGTTCTTTGTGATCTTGGCAAGTCCAACTGTAGTCAAGGTGAGGAGCAAGTACTCCATTCAGCTCAACCACTTTCTGCCTTCTCCTAGACCTAGAGTATGGTTTTGTGGAGTATGCTGGGGAGCTGGTGCCAGGGAGGAGCAGTGACTCAGGTTCTCATGTGTTTGGTGTGTGTCTATCACAGTTGTTTTGTGTCCGTGCCAGCCCAAACAATTTCTCAGAATATCCCCTCTGATCTTTATTCTCACCCACCTCCCACTCCTAGTCACTCCAAGTCAGTTGTAAAGGACTCCCGAAGTCCTGGGACTGGATGGTGTTGATAAATCCTATAAGCTACTGGGACTAGGACTGAGGCCAACATGTAGGGTCAGGTCTGGGCTAGGCTGGGTAGCTGAGAAATACTCTGTTGAGGGTGTATAGATTGAGAAGCTGGATGTGCTTCCAAAAGCCCCTTCAGAAATCAAAGGTCCTTCTTGTACTTGCATCGGAACCTGGCTGCTGTGCTTTGGGCCTGACAGGAGGGACTACTCAGGCAGCTCTGAAAGACTTAGGGAGAGGGTAGATGGTTCTGATTTTCTTGCTTTGGAAATCAGGGATTATTTCTAGCCTTTTACTAAAACAAGCAGCTTAAATTTCTAAAATTTCATCTTAGAAGAACACACGTGTACACATGCACACACACATACTTGTTATTTTCTAGCCTGGTGTTTTCAATAATAATAATGGGGACTACTATATTAGTATGTTGCATATTTCAAAATTGGTAAAAGAATAGATTTTTAACATTCTCACCACAAAATTGGTAAATTGGTGAGGTGACAATTACATTAATTAACTGGACTGAATCTTTCTACAATGTATACAGAGATTAAAACATCATGGCAACCAGCAGGTAGCTTAGTGGTTAAGACACTGGACTCCCATGTGGCCAACCATGGTTCAAGTCCTGGACCTGGCAGCTTGAAACTTACACCAAGGCGCCTTTGCTCAGCTGCCGCCAAGGTGCTCTGTTTTTCCAAGGAAGCTAAGGCGGCGTTGGGGTGAGGCCCTCACTTTATCCGGCAACTAGCACTGCATCCGGCATCGCCTGCTCTGCGCCCATCCTCACCATGGCTTTTGTTTCCAAGCTCGCCTGCATTTACTCGGCCCTCATCCTACACGATGACGAGGTGACCATCTCGGAGGATAAGATCAATGCCCTCATTAAAGCAGGTGGTATAAATATGGAACCTTTTTGGCCTGGCTTGTTTGCAAAGGCCCTGGCCAATGTCAACATCGGGAGCCTCATCTGCAATGGAGGGGCAGGGGGGATTGAATCAACAGGCTGGGGCATACCT